GCGTACATCATTATAAATGAGCTAACAGTTACTGTTACTACAACACATAGAGGAAGTGTTATTAAAAGATGTTTCTTGTAAACTTGGTTCTAATCAGCTGATGTGCCGATAAATCACTGAGGGTAGAACAAGTACAATGCTCATTCAAATAACAATGTATTGAGACATTTCCATGTGAGGCTTCAATGTGTGTCACCTCACTTGAAATGAAGATGAAGAGGAGATTACAGCTTTCGTTGTCTGCTGGACAGGAATGCTGGGTAAAACAGGTCAGTGCCAACAGAGATTAGACTTGCATTAAGCACTGAATAAAACACAATTTAAACCTTTACCTTATTTGACATTGCACCCTTTTGTTAACAGCATTTGTCTGCTGTTTCGCCTTGTTATTGTTGTCCTCTTCATGTTGCTTTGTTCAGTTACAGCTAGTATTATCTCTTTCATTCACAGCCTTTACTGTGGTTTGTGGCTCGCAGATGCTATTGTGCCTCATTAAAAGATTTCTTCATCGTCATATTTAAAAGGAAGGGAAATGTTTATTTGTTCCCGATCATATTCCTCTATTGTTTGGTCCCAAAACCACCTTGCATGACCTCCACCTGGTCCATTATTTATCACTTTCCAAGTCAACAGGAATGATTAATTCAATCCCTGCCATTATAACCTACTGCAAAAGGACTTGCAGCTGCTCTCCAACACAATGTCTTATACATGTAACCAAGAGGCTTTCAGTTTAAGAGACTGTTGTGCCAGAATAAAATAACAAAGTGGTTGTTGGTTACTTTTCCTATAAGAAATCTCTTGTGCTCATGCAAATAATGATGGTCCTCCCAAAGGCAAAAGGGGTAGGAATTAAGGGTGGTTAAGGTGGGTGGTTGGGATTTTGACTCTTGATTAGTCGATGCTTGTCTTGTTCTTTCTTCTCTTCCATTAATCGAAACCAAGTTCTTAGTCACTGTAGAGATATATGCGGTCTAAATTGCCAAGAGATCGAGAGTGAATGTCAGGAATATAAAAGAGAATCATCCTCTCATAAATAAAACTCATACCAGAATAAAAGGTCACCTAATCCAGCTTCTTCCAGCTCACTAACAGCCTAAATTAGAAGAGTAGCTGCAAAGTATTTATTCACCCTGCCAAACTATTCAGCATATGACAATCTAGTCACCTCATGCATGTGAATTACTATAACAATTAAAAAGAAAAATGTTCTCAGGAAGAGACTGAAGTTTTTCACACAAGCATTGATTAAGCATATTTTATTTACGGTTTTCTCTATTTTTGTATATGTCTTGAACACTTTGCTGCAATGACGGTATATCGATAATATGCAAGCTTCTTTTCAAGCTATTTGTAAAAAGCTTCTGTGCAACAATGATTGATCATGTTTTGACATTTACCCAAAACATGAATTTAAACCAATGAAATCATTGTCAGATTTTCTGATCTGGATACATTAAGCGTATGTTACTACAGCCTTCCCAAACTCACATTTTGCCAAATTGAGTGTGAGGGCAACACAGACCGCAAATGATCAAAAATCTCATTCAGAGTCCTCAGATGCTCAAACGAGGTAGACGAATAGGCCACAATATCATCTAAATAAACTTCACAGTTGCCAACCCCACATAAGACTCTGTTCATCAGCCGCTGGAAAGTGGCGGGGGCATTTCTTAACCCAAAAGGCATAACTTGTACTCAATCGGGTGTAACAAAGGCACTGATCTCAGCGGCACGTTTAGTGAGGGGGACCTGCCAATATCCCTTTAGAAGGTCTAACTTTGTGACATATTTAGCAGAGCCTACACGGTCCACACAGTCATCAATCCGTGGAAGTGGGAAGGAGTCTGTTTTTTTTTAAATGGCATTTACTTTACGGTAATTGTTGCAAAAACGTGGTGTCTTATCCGGTTTCTGTCTAAACAGGATTTGAACAAATGAAAAGGGTGTCGTGTCGCACTCCTGGGCAAAACAAAGTGTGTCTTTAAATTGACAGATTCAATTAGCATATCTTTACAAAGATACCAAAAAGTACAAAAGGACCGGTAATCGTTAGATTTAACCACACAGAACAATAGATCACGCGAGGAGGGGAAAATATCCGCACACAAATGACATAATGATCCCAGGGTCATAACAGCTGGGAATCTCCTTCTTTCTGCAGCTTTCTGCAAACATGCAGCTCTGCTGCAAAGGGGGCGTGGCCCCGTAGCTACTGACCCAGAATCAGTACTTCTCTAACAGGGCTGAAATAGAGGGGTATGAGGCATGGCTACAATGGGTGATCTGTTTGGTATTTTGAGCAAAACACTTCATAGACATGTTTTTTTATATATTTTTATATATCTGAGACCTATAATATATGCCTAAGAATAGTAAAATAGGAGACCTTTAAGGGTGATAAAAGTGATTTTCATTTAAAGAGCAGTACAAAATGTAGGCGAATCATCACAGATGAGTGAGGAGGGGGTTCTAGAACGACGACCAGCTCACGGGTTACACGACACAAAAAAGGTCGGGGAACCACTGCATTTAAGGGCCCATGTCATGGCCATTTCTACTGATCATAATTCCATTGTTGAGGTATACTAAAATAGATTTATACTGTGCAATTTTCCAAACTCACATTGGTTTCTCATACAGCATCTCTGTAAAGCAGGGGTACTCAAACTTTTTTATTAAAGGTCCACTTGCGAACTTTATACAAGGTCACTGGTCCGGATCAATGCCAGTAAAGTCACCCCCCCCCCCCCCCCCCCCGGAGCAGAGCAACGAAACTGAAATTAAGAAAATGTTTCTTACGGCGCTCTATGCATGGGGCCCCCTTGAGGGGGTTTCCCGACATGTCGTTGCAGTAAATTAAAGGGTGGTTCATGTTGTCGTTGCTGTGGACCTTCTTAATCTACCTTCATTGGGGGCCCCCTTCTGGTCCAAGCACTTGCCTGCCTTGCCTGTCGGCAAACGGCGCCCCTGTAATATACACACACACATTCAATACATACAGTATGATGGCTTGAACTAGTGGGAGAAACTGCACTGTTTGTCTGTAGCCAATGCCTTGAACCTCGGCAAAAAAGGCATTAGAAGCATTAGAAAGTCAAGGTAAACTTACGGTTAACTTGCGGTCTGCAATGCGTGTCACGCTCGCGCACACAAGTAAATATATATGCACGTTCATTCTCACAATGCGTCAGACACAAGACGCGCGTACACAATGATGTACATTAATTTATCAGAATTTTTTTTTTTTTTTTTTTTAAATAATGAGACACGGTTCGGTCCGGATTGATTTGCAGTTCGGTCCGGATCCGGACCTTGGTCCGGAGTTTGAGAAGCCCTGCTGTAAAGTATGTATTCACCGGTATTCACTCTCTGTCCTAAACGGCTTGATGGAGCTCCTGCCCCCCCTCCCTGTGAGCCCAGTGTGCTCTGATTGGTCGGGACGTTGAGAGGCTCGTTGCTGCGAGGAGCGGACAGGCTTCCGGGTCGGCGATACAGCGAGAACAAGCGAAACTCATCCTGAGCACACACAAACACTCACAGCCGAAGTAAAAACAATAAGTGTGGCTTGATATTGAGTAAGAAAAAGGTTTATAACGCTGTGAGAATGGGTCTGCGGAGAGCATTTCTCCGCGATCCCAACGTAGCAGCCCAAAAAACGTTTACCCATTTAAACAGTCGTGGTAGATACCTTGTTTGTTTTAAACATCATAAATACACAAACAACAATGAACACTTACAGGTTGTGTACCCGAATCTCCCGCTGGTCCAAACAAAGTAGGATCAGCATCGTTCTTCAGTGCCCTACGCTGTACATATCCGGCATGAATCGCTGAAAGGTTTGTGAAGCTGTTTCGTGAAATGCTGGCAGAGGGTGTGGCCTCTGGGTATTCACACGTCACAGTATCCAGGAAGTAAACAATGGAAAATTAGAACACACAAGGGGACGGGTAATAACCGGAAAAGCATGACATGGGCCCTTTAAGCAACAGTGTCACATAAGTTTCCGACATGAGGTCATGACGTGTATTTGGTGGTGCTTATGTAATAGCCTCACCTTAGTTCTTAGCGGGTGTGGCGATTCTAGAGTCTGTGGGTGCCCTAGGCAAACATTCACTGGGGGCCCCTCGAACCAGCTTTTCATCACCACGCACAGCCGACAGTTCCCCCCCCCCCACTGGAGCGGAGCAAGGCAATGAAACTTAAGATAAGAAGCAGCATTTTACGGCGCCCAACGCAGTTGCCTGCCTTGCCTGTTCGCAAGGTGCGCCCCTGAGCGGGTTACAATACATAATAGCAAAGCGATGTTCACGGAGAGCAGGGCTGACTGGTTTGTCCAGTTTTTACTTTCAGGTGTTCTGTTGTGTGCAGGTATTTATAATCTTAAAGAGATATGCACTTCAGTGCAGACACCGGCTGTAACAGGACGTACGACTCAGAGCTCTCTCAACACACAAATACACAGGTAAGATATTAACTCGGCACTATCATGATAATGCATAAGTAGTAGCTGCTCTATATATTTATATAGTGCTTTTATTATTTGTAACCTGTCTGTATTCGTGTCATCTTATTTTGTGTGCTTTTTTTATGGATAGCACTAACTAGCACCAACTTTGCTTTAAGGCAATTTGCCATGAAATATTATTCCACCTTTATATCCATAGGTCAGAAAGAAAATACCTTTGTTGACCATTTATAGATGTGTGTATTCTTCATTAATCTGGTTGGCTGAAAGATGTAACTGTTATTGTCAAAAAAGAAAATACAAGAATGTGAGAATTCAAATGGCAGAGGATTTTTGGACCCTAAATATATTGAAATTAAATTGAATTACAAAGATATCCCTGTCAGAGAATTTGCAACATTGAAGGCTAATGGGATATGTTCTAATAGGGTTCAAAAGGTCAGCAAGGAAGCCCTATAGCACTAAATAAATTCACAGTGATACGTAGACTCACTGTTACATTTGAATCCATCGTTAGGTTCCTTTTTTCCCACAACAAATCAAAGAGAAACTCTAGAAATGTGGAAAAGGTTTTCTTGACAAAAAAAGCATTTTGTTTGGACAATTTAAATTACCTGACTTTTATTTTCTAACAAGTCACTCAAATGATGACACAGCACATTGTCTGTAATTCCCCTCCGGGATGACAAATACTGGTGATATCTGATCTATCGGCAGGCTGTTATTCAGTGTCAGTGTCTACAAAAACCCAATTTAAAATGACTTCTTTGTCATGGTTACTTAACCAACCACTTGGTTATTAATATGGAAATCCCATAGCCATGATAAAAGTAAATCACATTTATCAAAAGCACTTTGGTTACATTACCAGGGTATATGCAGGAATCCTGAAGTCAAATGTAATACCTTTTAAGACCTTTTTTAAGATCCTTTCCATACATTTTAAGACCTCATAGCCACTTCAAGTTTTAACCGGTTACATTGGCGACACACTTTACTTCACATTTACTATATACAGTATTGATTGTCCTTCCTCCTTATCTTCCAACCATTTGGACGCAAACTTGCATTTCCCCGTAACGATGTTGTTTAACAACCGGCGTAAACGGACCTTCGTGCGCTATCAAGCCGTGAGCGTGCAATGTCCTGTTCAGATGACGTCAAACCCAACGGGATGCCATAAATAAACTACACAGAATCACACTACACACCTACGCAATGATTAATTCAGGTAAACTTTAGAATACAACCTCTTTGGACAATTTATATACTTATTGAAAACAAGCTACAAAATGTAATACCTTGGAAAATGCCGTTTAATACTTTTTTCGCTAAATTGATTTATCAACTTTTAATACTTTTTAAGACCCCGCGGACACCCTGATTACATTTGTTACATGTTATTTAGCTGAAGCTTTAGTCCAAAGTGTTAACAATGTTGACCATCAACCTTGTAATTGGTGAAAAACTTGCTCCATCTCCTGAGTCACAGCAGCCCCATTAGCTTGACCTACAGTATATGCTTGTTAGACCAAATGCGGTAAAGGTGTATTTGTGAACCTGTTTTTCGCCATGCCAAAAACACAAAACAATGTCAATACTTTGTCCTCGGGTTAGTATTATATTTATAACGCTCACATGCTTACAAGCCTCCACCAGAGCAGCACTGGAGTGGTGTCCTTCTACAATGTCTTATTGAACAAATTCTATTATACTGTAAAATGATGTAACGTTCTAACTGAAACTATGAAATACGTAAAGTATGTGGTGTGTTTTTTTTGTTTCAATCTTGTAGCAAGGGTATTGCCAGCACCCATGATTTCTTTGTTGCTACTTTGCATATGACTGTATTTTGTACAAGCACCAATAACAAACATTTTTGACATGAACTCTAAGTCCTGGTTCCTCCTTTAGAAAGCCATCATGACTTCCAAAATGGTCATCAGCCAGCCTCAGCCTGTGATGGACGCCCGGGACTCTGATGAGTGGGGATCAGGGATCTGTGACTGCTTTCAAAATGTGCCTGAGTGTAAGTATCTGCACTTCTTCTCTTTATGAGAGAAGTTACAAGTATAGTTTATATCTTGTGCACAGTCATGCTATGATTATGTGACAAAAGGGCATCGTTTGCTTACTCAAAGGGCAAGACGTTGTTCATTTTTATTCTGTAGTTTTCAAATACATTAATCATTCATATTTTGATATTAGCTGCATCATAAAAACACAAAGGATTACAGTACATTGTCATTTCCTTACTGATTTAATGTGTCATTTTTTGCAACAAACCTACCAATCTTATGTGTCGATTTGAACTCAATACTTCAAAAATAATAATGTTAGATACTCATCCATGTTTTATGAAATAACAGCAAAAATACACAGCCAAATCTGATGTAAAAAAAGTGAACCTGAAATATTTTCCCAAGAAAGGAAAGGTAATTGACTTACTCTAATTATTTATTAGTATCTTAAAGGTCCCATGTCATGGCCATTTCTACTGATCATAATTCCATTGTTGAGGTCTACTAGAATAGATTTACATTGTTCAATGTTCCAAAATCACATTGGTTTCTCATCTCTGTATAGTATGTGTATTCACTCTCTATCCTACACGCCTTGTTGGAGCTCCTCCCCCCCTCCACCCCACTCACAGCCTGAGCTCCGAGTGTGTGTGTGACTGATTCTATAATTTAGGGTGCATTTCACATCAACAAAACAGTACAAAGAAAGTGTTCTTTCTCAATAGAACAATCAGTGGTTCAAGTTAGTATATTCCTCAGTGTAACATATCCACTAGTTGCAAAGCTTAAACATTTTTATTTATTTTTTTATTTCAAGGGAAAGGATGTTTTCACTACTCAGTTTGTCAACTATGTTACGGACAAACTTGATGTCATTACAATCATTTGATTAAGTCCTGCACTTCAAGTAAAATCAAATTTGAAAGGCTCTTGAGTCTATTCTACCATATATCCAAAGATTTTTTAAAGTTTAAAAAATAATTGTATTAAAGTTTTGTTTTTTCATGTGATATGTTCAGCACTGTCATTAAGTTTAGGGATATTTTGTATTATAAAACTACCATACAGGTCATTTTGATAGTTTTAAGAGATGTCATGTAAAACTCCAACCTGTGTAGATATACATTATACTATAAAGGATATCAGAAGCACTATTTTAGATATTTTAAATTTGAAAAAATGAGGTGCAACATAGTTGACAATGAAAGTCAAACATTTGACGCAAATAACATAGTTGACTGGACACATTATTAACCATCAGCACTATGTTAATTTCAAGGCAGAAGTGCAAAATTCCATTGATAATGATGTGTAATGACGTCTACATGTCATACAAATTGTCAACTAGGTTACCTGTCAACTAAGTTACTACAGTTATTACAGTACTGGGTAACTCAGTTGACAGGTAACCTAGTTGACAATTTCCCTATTTTGACCCATCATTTCAATGGTAGGCCTTGCCTGGATGACCACATGTCATTTTCTTGAACAGATTAACATCACATTTGAACATATAATTGAATTAAAATCATTAAACAATTGTAAACCATAACAATGTACGTAACATTGTTGATTGTCAATGAGTATATTAATTGACCATGTGCTATTATACATAAAATATTGTAAAAATTTAGAGGACAATCACCACAGTGTGTTCAAAATGTCTGCCAAAGAGGAACATGGCATCATGTGATGCTGGTGACATGGTATTGGGACAAACAATTTTTGAGTTAAAGGGGGAAGTTCTGTTAGTAACATAGTTGACAGAACTTTTGCGGACATTCATATATTAAGATATTTAAATTATTTAAAGGGAGAAATCAATTAAAAATATGTTATTATTCTTTAGTATTTAGACTTTTGAAATAAATGAATCATTTTTTAAATTTACTTTAATGGTTTTTATTCATTATTTTGAATCCAAGACACCCTCAACTGAAAAACGGACATAGCAAAAACTGACAATTTAAGAACATCATGACACATTTCAAGCTAAATAAAGCATAGGATGCACATAATGTTTGTGTGATATTATAACATGCTTTCCAATAATAGGCAAAATATGATATTTTTGAAGAAAATAGTTAGAATAATTATAATTATCATCAATGGACATCAATGGACATGGAATGCACCCTAAATTGTAGAATCACTCGTGTACGGAGCTCCGCGCAGCACCGCAGCTGAGAAAAGATAAGGCTGAGTGAGTGTGTGTGTGTGTGTGCAGAGCTCCGCGGATTGGACCAATTGGTCCATTTGGACTTTGTTACGTCAATAGGACCCAGAAGGAAAATATGGAAGAAAAAAAAATCTCCAACGAGGCGTTCTGGGGCAGCATGGACACGTCTTTTCTGTGTTAGAGTTGTACTCGCTACAGGGTGTACTTTGAGGGTTTGTGACTCTGCAGACCGTTTACATGCAGAAAAAGCTACATAACACACAAGGGGACGGGTAATAACCAGAAAAGCATATGATGGGACCTTTAAATGATTGTGAGCATATTTGTGTGTGTTTTTTTATCTCTGGGATCTTACAGGTGTTGGTCATTTTTACAATAGGTGTGTTTATCGGTTGCTTATCTGGTATTTGTTTATTTCTGGTAAAGGTTGTTGTGCTTTCTGGTGCTGTCCCTGCTTCGCCTGTAAAACAACCAAGAAATATGGGCAGTGTCTCTGTCTCCCCCTGTTGGACATGTTTGGTTTTGTCCCTCCCGCCACCATGTCCATGAGGGTCTCCATGAGGCAGCGCTACGGCATCAAAGTAAGACACGATTCTCTTTTGTTGGTGTCAGATGTATGGGCATAGATATGTCTCATAATTATTTGTGTGAACATAAAAATTATTTGTGTGTAAATATGTGATTTGGAAATGTAAAACACCATCCACAAATGCATTTAAAAGATTTGCAAACTCACAAATAAATTTGCAAATGTAAAACGGATCTGCAAATACGCTAAATATGTTCACAAATAAAAAAAAGATCTGTGAATATCTCTTTAACATTTACAACTTTCGATCAGGCATTTGTGAATCCATTTTGTATTTGTCGACCAAAAATGCGCTTGTGGATCTCAACTCTCTGCTCGTGGATCTCACATTTCTGCTTGTGGATCGTCTTTTTACACACACGGAATTTTGAGACAAACTTTCCTCTGGTCTCAGCTAAAATCTACTCGTGTAACTCGGTTATTTTCGGAAACCACGTGATGGCCTGCTGATGACGACATTTCCGCATGATTTCAAAGTAAGAGCATGATGGCTTGTTTAATGCTCTGTTTTTTTATTATAATGAACAGCGAAACGTTAGATGCATTCTTTATCACCATCATCATCATCATGTTATGGTGATACAGTTAGTTTGTGTTAGTTTATTGGTTCAATACAGCATATATCGAGCACTTTCGTAGGCATTGATGTTGAAGTACAGGCTACGCCACTTCGGGTCCCGGGGGAGCAGCTGGCAGCGAAGCAGCCCAGAGGAAACTCGTTCTTCATTGTTTTTTGTGTATTCAGTCAAAGTTACAAAGCACTTCACATTTTATTAATCAGCCTAATTTTACCTTACCAGTGCAGTAATAAAGTAATCTGTAGAAAAGCACCGTATTTAGGTCAGCCTTCATAGTAAGGCTACATTAAATGTTATAATATTCATCGTGTCCTTTCTACTGTATATGCATATATTCCTGTCTATTGCTTTCATTTGTATTTCATGTTATTATGTTTATACTTGTTTCCACACATTTCACAATTTGGGATGAATGAAGTATCTATCTATCTATCTATCTATCTATCTGTCTGTCTGTCTGTCTGTCTGTCTATATCTATCTGTATATCTATCTATCTATCTATCTATCTATCCATGATATCCATCTATCTGTCTATCTATCTATGATATCCATCTATTTATCTGTCTGTCTGTCTGTCAACATCAATGCCTACGAAAGTGCTCGATATATGCTGTATTGAACCAATAAACTAACACAAACTAACTGTATCACCATAACATGATGATGATGATGGTGATAAAGAATGCATCTAACGTTTCGCTGTTCATTATAATAAAAAAACAGAGCATTAAACAAGCCATCATGCTCTTACTTTGAAATCATGCGGAAATGTCGTCATCAGCAGGCTATCACGTGGTTTCCGAAAATAACCGAGTTACACGAGTAGATTTTAGCTGAGACCAGAGGAAAGTTTGTCTCAAAATTCCGTGTGTGTAAAAAGACGATCCACAAGCAGAAATGTGAGATCCACGAGCAGAGAGTTGAGATCCACAAGCGCATTTTTGGTCGACAAATACAAAATGGATTCACAAATGCCTGATCGAAAGTTGTAAATGTTAAAGAGATATTCACAGATCTTTTTTTTATTTGTGAACATATTTAGCGTATTTGCAGATCCGTTTTACATTTGCAAATGTATTTGTGAGTTTGCAAATCTTTTAAATGCATTTGTGGATTGTGTTTTACATTTCCAAATCACATATTTACACACAAATAATTTTTATGTTCACACAAATAATTATGAGACATATCTATGCCCATACAGATGGCAGACATATGAGTTTTATTTGCGATTTCTGTTGATCCACTATCATTTTTTATTTCATTGAGACTTAGGGAGACATGTCAAGTTACATGATTTGAACTTGTAAAGCAAATGTCCAGAAGTGTTAACAATCACGAGTGTCTGATTCGACAAAAATATGAAAGTGATATTCAAGATTTTTAAGATTTTCAACACACAACAATTTCATTAAGGGTTGAAGACAATAAAGGTCCACACAATAAACTCTTTGTTAGAGTTGGGAGGAAATCATGGCTTGGGTTTAGAAAGCAACTTTTTGAAGGTTTTGTGAACCTTTGGTAAAAGAAAAAAAAAAACCTCAGTCCTGGAAGGAAAGCTATTTCAGGGTTTTGGTATCCCTACTTTTCAAAAAATTACTTTAGAATTACTTCTAAAAAATACTTTAGAAAGGTAAACCAAGTGTATGAATAATTATCAGAATCAATGATGCAGCCTGTAAATCCTATTTTCCACCTGACTGTATTTCCTGCAGGACACCATGTGTAGGGACTGTCTGTTTGCCACCTTCTGTACGACCTGCAGCTGGTGTCAGATGTCCAGAGAGATGAGGAGGAGAAACCTCCAAGTCGTCCTAGTCAGTGCCAAGAACACATGAGTTCTCTCCTGTCTCCTGACCACCACCAAGGCTGTAACATGTTCCATTAACACACAGCCTGCTGCGGCTTTTCTAACACATCTAAACATTATAAATACACTGTACACTGAAGCCTATGTGAAAGAGACGAGCCTACATTGAAAGAAAATAAACGTTGACTTTAATTGAATGTGTTATGTCAACAGATTGCACATAACTGCATCATGTTAGTTTGAAGCAATAATATTAAGTTAACTTAAAGAACATTAGGTTCAACTTAATATTATTGCTTTCAACTAACCTAATAGTCATGTCAATGACTGAAAAGCAATATGTGTGCCTGAAAAACTAATTTAATAAAATGAGCTAAGATGATTGATAACTCCCAAAGCATAATACGAGCTCTGGCAGCAGGGAATGTAGAAATAAGTTATTTTTGAAATGTATTACACCCCAATTGTTTTATACGTTTTATTTTTTCTGCCTGAGACGAAAAACGCTTACTTTTACTGAAAAAATGGTATCTGATCTTGGTTAAAGGGAACTGTCCGCTGACTTTAAGGCAACTATTCTTGAAGAGCCTTTTTATGAATTACATTTTGTTGTACTATGTTTAAGTTTTGTTTGTAAGCAAAACCCAAGCATGGGTTTATCATCATGACAAACGTTTTGTAAACTAGTATTGTTTTCACATACTAATATTATATCTGCCAAAGTTACAATGTATTAAACAGACTTCAAGCAATTTTAACAATGTGCCATATACATAATGCAAACAACAACATCAAATGGTATTGATTTGATATTATTGATAATAACTGAACTATTATTAAAGTAAGCTTGCTCAACATGAAACAAAGTCAAACCTGCTTACTGTATTTTAAAATGAATGGCTGTACCCTGATTTTCTATATACAAATATAATAGAAATACATCATTTAAGAGCAGGTCAAATCACATGCACCAAGTGTTCACAGATGGAAAACACACAAAGAGCATATTGCTTTAATTAAATGTACTTGAAATACTGATGTGACACCTTACCTAGCGGCTAGAGGGAGCCACATTCTTCACAATGAGCCAACACTTTGTATAGAGGGTTGAGGCCATGTGGGGTCACAGTGGATCAGAAGCATGGACCTGACAACCACCTGCACAGGAGAGGGAAAATAACCAAAAAACCTTACAATAAATGAAGCTTTCCTGCGCTCAATGTCAGTGTTTTAAAGAACGGTTCTGTATTAGCACAGATAGTGAATGTCTTTCTGCCTTTGTAAGTTGCATAATGCTGCTTTCAAACCTCACTCGTGAAAATTCTCTCAAACTCTCAGACCTCCTTTAAATCTGAGACATACTGCAAATTTCATTTCATTTCATATAAAATGCAAATGTGTCTACAGGAAAGACATTCACCATATATAGGTAGTTGCATTTCCAGTAATAAATACATAATGTATTAATAGTTTTATTTACAGGAACATTTTGTTTTTTTCAATAATTGGTTTTAAATTACATAGTTCTTAATTATAAAAACATTTGGAAATAATCTTAAATTAAAACACTTAAAATAATTAAGTTTTCAATAACAAATACTCTCAAGTTGCTGGTTATCATGCTGAAATCAAGAAAGTGTAAACAATATTTCTTTGGCCAATTGTTAACATTTTTAGCCTTTTGTTTTGGTTTTTGTAAAATAATTAAAGTAGTTTCGGCCACCAACGGAAATTGGCTTCCAGTTCAAACAAGCAGTTATAGAGCCAGCTTTTTTGAAAGGAATGGTTGGAGACAAAACCAAAGCTAAAACAGAGCAAATATTGGACTTTATATAGTTGTGGCTATGTATGTCTGCTTATTGTTGTGCTTGTATACCCTCTTGTGGCCATACAACAAACAACGGCTGCTTTCAATAACAACACCTGTACTGTGTGGTCAGCTACATGCTTGCCAATACCCATTATATTAAAAGAAGATGGAGAAGAACAGATGTATTATTTGTTGTTCAGTTCAAACAATACATTTACGGAGTCACTATCATGTGAAATGTTGTCAAATGATGCCCAATAAATGTTCCTATTAGTCCGGTTTGCACTCCAGCAAAGGCGATCCCTCCCCTCTGCTGGCACACTTGGCCCTGGTGTTCACTGTAAATTGCTCAGTGGGTTGTTTTTAATGGGATTATAATGACAGTTATGGTTTGCAAGAATTGATGTTTGTGACTTTTACGAGGTGTGAGTGAAGGGGCGGGACCAGGCGGCTCATAAAGGCTGCAGGAATGTTAATTGGTCGAGGCCACTGCTGCCCTCTTTGTTCTGCTCTCTCATACTGGGCTTCTGTTGCGCCCGTTACAGGCCAAAGAACTGATTTAAAATCTGTGACTTTAACCCCGCACACCCTCCAACACCCCCCACGCACACATATGTACACAGCTTATCCCACCTACAGCCCCCCTCGTTCATCCCCTCCCATTCTTTCTTCTGGGGTTTCCTCCTGAAAATGGACCCCTTTGCTTCTCTCATTTCCTCCATGTTGCTTAATCAGGTGGTTGGCATCCCCCCCCCCCCTCCCTGCTGGGATTGATCCAGTGTTGGGGGAGTAATTTTATCACAGCTTTTCTTTTTTCTTGTGGTCACTTGGCCGGCTGCACTTCAAGCCAGATGAATGTTCTAAGGTGAGGGAGGTTTCCGAAAGCCCAAATGGGATTAGTGTCATTTTTTATTATTTGGAAACATCGAATACATTTGCTAAATTAAAAGAGTTATTATTTATTTATTGTTTAGGAATTCACTGTGAATCTGAAACATTTGAGGGCCTATTAAGACTGATTATTTTTTCTTATATTTATCCTGGTTTCATCCTTAAATCTTCATGCCGATGATTTCATTTGACTTTGTTTTGCCTTGTTTTTCATATTTAACTGTGTTCTGCTATTGTGATCTACGTAATTTTTTCTTTCTCCAACATGTACACATTCACATCTCAAAGATTTTGGAACAGTTTGATTAATGTGGTTCACAGGTTGTAATATTTGTATTGCACTTTCGTCATTAGTTTTACAAAATAAGGTTTTTATGATGTCTTCAACTAATTTCTGTTATTTTCCTAATTTAGGAAGTATATCAGATCTCTCCTTACAACAAAGGACGTTGGTTCAAATAAACTACAGTGTCCTTGCAGCAGAAGGCACCAACTTTTCTATATGTGTGGGAATAAAATATGCTCTTGGAAATCAGTTTAAATCTGCTCTTTAAAAAATTATCTTTGTATTATTCAACTACAATTGTTAAAGCCGAAAAGGATCATCCTTAAAGAATACTTCAGTAGGGAATCCTTAAATGTTAATCAGAGGTCATGAGATGGATTTGAACCTGGAGATCATGGAATCTTCCCGAGTGTCATCCTGTCTGTCGGAGGTTTCCACCATGACAGATGGAGACACCGTCTATCTGTCCATAATTTCCAGGGGAAGTGTTCCTTTCAAAAGACAAGGTTGGAGTTGCAGGGGAGTCGTCTGATAACGGCTCAGGTTAAGATGAGGCGGCAGGGGCAGGCGTAGTCCGACACACGCTATCAGACGACGGGCCTTAGAGCAAACAAACAGCTCTGACCTCTCAAAACATTGGCAGCAGGGAGCAGCTGATAGTGAGAGACGGCTAGGTGGAGGTGGGTGATGTAGCAGTGTGAGTGTGTGTAGGGGAGGCAGGGGCAAAAGGGCACGCAGGGCAAGAATTATCTGATCCTTCCGTGATCTTAGTGTCTCAGTGTCTATTAAAATCTGAAGGGTGTGTCTGCATGTGTGTGAGGGGTAGTTATCTTTATGTTTGATGAGTTGCCATGTCTTAAAGAGCTGTTAAACCAAAAATGATTTCCACTTCCCCTGACATCAAGATCTTTTGCATCTTCAAAAAAACATAAACACTAGCATTTTCCAATCCTGTTTAAAGGTTTGTCTGCATTGACCTTTTTAAACAATGGAAAATAACTTGCTGATAAGCACTATCCATACTTATCAGTTATTATAATGTGTAATGTGTTAAGCTCTAATGCAGGTATTGCTGTGATGATTATATAGAGCAGCGAGAAGCCTAAATGTGTTTTCCAATTCCTACAATACACTCTCGTACGAGAACTATTGCCATTTCATGACAACCATCTTACCATGACGTTAATTTTTTGTGATCATAAGCTCTAGTTTAGTGTAGATAGACTAAAACCTAATTGCATTTTTGGGGACATGGCCTGCCTTCTGTGTACATACATTCATTTGTCTGTGACACATTCAGACAAATGAGAAAAGAGAAGGTCAGGAGGTGTAGCAGCAGCAGGGTGAAGGGGAGGAAAGGGTCAACAAATTCTTTGATTACTGAACCTTGTCATTCAGATAGCAGAGGGCTTGAACACTTGGCGAACTCACCGGACAGCAGCGAGGCAGAATCAGAAGACTGAGGACTCTCCTGCAGAAACTTAATTAATTAATTTCTACTGGGCAGCAAGATCTCTACAGTCTCATTAGAAGCTATATCAATATAAGATAAATAAATAATGAGTAGATTAAGAACCAACCGCAAACTATTGAATGTTTATGTCATTCATTGAGCAAATATTCCAACAATTGTTAAGGTTCAAGATCTCAGATGTCTGGGTTTGCTGTTTATTTCTGTTTTTATATCATCAAAAATAGAACATCTTTGGTTTTTGAATGTCTTGACAAAACAATAACTTTGAAGACATTATCTCGGGTTCTGGGAAGCAGTAATATAAAATATTTTCTAATTGTATTTTGCATTTTATAGACCAAACAAATTGTGAATTGAGTAACATTGACAAAAAAAAGACAAAACATTAATTAGTTGCAGCCCTAAATGCCAAAGTAAAAAAACAACCTAACCCTAACCCTAACTCTAACCCACCATTTAGGTGGAGCAATAATGGTTGAGTTGTATTTAGTCAACACTGCTCTTCCACTAGGGGGCATTACTGGGAGTTAAACCGATACCAGGCTCCTGAAGAGGATCTCCACTGTTGTTAGCCTTGATATACGGCTGCTGGAAACAACCCCTAAGTGCATCTCAAGGTTCATTGAAAGGGTGAATAGGATCTATAACTCTTGAGTGGATGTAGTTGTTCATCTGTTGTGTCGGACAGCGACTTTACAGACTTGTTTAGTTTCAGGAAGAAAAAAAAAGTGTGTTACTTTGTTTGGCTTAAAAGACTATAAACACAACACATCTACTCACCCACTGTCACACTAACAATATTAATACCTTACTACTTATATTTTTGACAATGTGTTTAATTTGCGTCTGCAATTAGGAATATGTTTTAATTGGTTTAAAGCTTAAAAGAAAATAGAAGACGATGTATATTTTCGACTAAGAGCATTGGAAATATTTTTAGTTTTTTTCAGTATCAATATCATCTAATACTGAAAGTGAACCGTATAAATTCCTTTTTTATACTTGATGACACAAGGTTTACACTTGCAAATAAGGAAAGAAATTATCACATTTCTTCCTGGGTAAAAATGCACCAACATGTTCAGGTTTTATTTGATATTAACTATAATCTATTTTGGAGAGTGAAATAGGCATAAACGTATTTTACAGTGATTTATTAAGGGAGTACTTTAAACAAATAATAATAATTGTTTCATCTTACCATATAGATATTTTCCATCTCGAATGTCCTCCTCCGCCTCGTCAGATGCCCTCTAGGTCTTTTCTGCTCTGTGTGTGACATAAACATTGAGGAAAATTAACATAATGCAAAACAAAAGTAGTCGGTCACACCAAATCCAAGCTTTTGAGCAAGAGATCAAATATATTCCCAAGAGATTTACTCGATATGTGACATGCCACAGTGACTCCAACATTTGAGATTTGCTGAGAATTATAGTGTCTAACGCTAAGACTGCAGCCTGTGAATTACCTTTCAAAGGCTGCAGGAACTTAAACTTTCCAGAGCAGCTGCATGGAGACTGGAGGTTTGTGTGTGTGTGTGTGTGTGTGTGTGTGTGTGTGTGTGTGTGTGTGTGTGTGTGTGTGTACGTGTGTGTGTCACACCTTTTCCAATCTAGATTTTGGATACTTGGAATCTTGCTACTGGTAGATTTTGGCAGATTTTTAACCCAGCTACTTACTAAAGAAGAATGTCCCATTTATTAGCATGAAAGGATTACGAAAAGTCTTATTTGACAGTGTTTGCCAAGCTA